TGTGCCGTCTCTGCCCCGACCTAACCTCTTTACCCTGCTTATCGCACCCTATCTCAGGGTCCACTTCCTTCTTCTCCGCCTCAAACTGTCTCATGATCTCGGATAGAGTCTTTCCTTTCGTCTCCGGGAGGCATAGCAGACAGTACGCCGCACCGAACAACGCGCAAACACCGAACAAATACAGAGTCCCGTTGCTCGTCAAGTAGTATTCTAATTGGGGATAGGTTTTGATATTGAAGAATATCAGCATATATGCGCAGCAGGATGTAGCACCTGACATGATGCCTCTGATATCCTGAGGATATAATTCCCCGGACATGATCCAGGGCAGTTGCAAGAAGCCGACCATACTGAAAGACACGTGCAGGAGCACGCAGGCCAGCTTCAGTAATGGCGGCCCGTCGAGACTGTCGCACACCGCAGCGCCCAGCATTGCCACACCCAGCAGCAGCCCTGATGCAGCAGCTAAAGTCTTCCGTCTGAAGCTGTTGATCAGACAAGCTCCCACAGCACCCATGAACACTCTCACACCACCGACGATGATGGAAGCTGTGAACTCATTGACACTTGTGCCCACTGACTTGAAGAAATCCACCGCGTAGTACAAGATCACGTAGATACCAGACATCTCTTGGAATACGAAGAACACGATGAGCAAAGCGAAGGGTTTTAACACGTTTCGCCGCTTAAAGAGACCGAGCTTCTGTTTCAAAGTCATATTCTCACTGGTCTTTCGGTCTTTCGTGAACTCCATCAGTTCCTGCTGGGCCGTGCTGTTGTTCTGTCGCAGCCAGAATAGAGCGTTATAAGCCTCTTTCATTTGACCCTTGGAAGCCAACCAGAGAGGTGATTCGGGAACAAAATACATCAGGAACGGTGTGAGAAGTGAGAATCCGGCGCAGATCGCGGCGACCTTCCTCCAATGTATGAAGGCTCCTAGCGAGTAAACGACGAAGATTCCAGTGGACACGAGACCGGGTCCAAGAGCACTCAATACTCCTCGTTTTTCAGGTGTTGTTATTTCCGCTACGTAAATATAGGACACCGTTGACATACCTGTAATTGAACAAAATTCATTAGACTTTGAATGTTTTTGTCAACTTATAATTTCGATCTGCAAAAAAAAAGTAGTAGAATTGTGTAACTATCAAGCTGACAAATACTAAGTAAAAGCGTACCAATAGTAAATCCGGTGACGAATCTTCCTACACAGAGGAAGAGGTATGTGTCAGAGAAGGCGATGACGAGCCAGCCCAGCAGGTTGGGCAGCACGATGGACTGCAGCAGCAGCCGCCGGCCGAGCGCATCCACCATCATGCCGCCCAATAACGCACCCACCGGGTTCGAGATCACGCCCAAGCTCGCTGAACACGAAAGAAAAACAAATTGTCACATACACCAAGTAAAATGAAGTACAAGGAATTGATTAAAATTAGTTTAGCTGGTCCGAAGAAAAAAAGAGGCAGCTAGTTACGTAAAAAGGTGTACCTGTATCTGTAGATAAAAACACTGTTGAAATTCTCAATACAATACAGAGTACCTGATTAAGTAGCTTGAACATTTGTTATTGTAACAAAAAAACTGCATCGTAAAAACAATTTGATCAGGAAGTCGCTTTGACAACTCCAAAGGAAGTTTGAATATTTAAGTTTACAAAAAGATACAAATAAATAATTTACAGAGCGGATATCAGGAAGATTTTCCTACAAATACCTAAACCTTAAAGTCAGTAGCGCATGTAATGTTTTTAGGAACCAACCACTTTAACGTGTGGTCATAACAAAGTAAACTTCCTACCTATAGGTAACAAGTCGGTGATTACATTTCTACTACTGACATAGGTATTATTAAATATCTTTGTTCGTAATAAGAGAATTAGACCAGTAGTCTGTAAACATATTATCCTAATTGATGATACGTGACTAATAATACAACACGTATATTATTAGGTAGAAAAAGGGGATGTTGTTATCAGTAACAAGACAAAATGTACACACAACTGTCGCGTGAATGTACAGTCAGCTGCATAAATGTATACACGATAATAAAATGTATACATTTACGCAGTTCACTGTACATCCTGTAAATCAAAAATTCATATGCACGTAATCGTAAGCATACGGACGTATGATGTTAATAAAATGTTACACTATATATTTTTACTCACCAATCCATGAGCTCTGTTCGTATGTGATGTTTGGGTGCTCGTGCGTGTATTGCGGCAGTAGTACCGCGGAGAAACCCTGGCAGAAGCCCACCGAGATGTTGATGGACTGTGCGGCCAGCGCCGCCAGAACCTACACACAAGTGTTAGGTTAGGATTGCTGATGTTAGGTTAGGCTACGCCCGTCGAACGAGAGAACGTCTACCAAATACTCCTTACTATGTTTCTATCTTACTTCTTACTATCTTACTTATAAATGAAACTTATTCTCATTCGTATCTTATAATCTTATTTTATATAATCTTATTTTACTAATATTATAAATGCGAAAGTTTAGATGGATGTATCTTTAAGGGTATCTCCAGAACAGATGCATAGATCTCACAGAAATTTGGCATGTATGTAGAACATAGCATGGAAGAACACATAGGCTACTTATTCAATTTTGTTTTTATTCCGCGCGAATTTAGTCGTGGGCTACAGTTGATAAGTTGATGTGATTCATCAATTATCATTTTAATATTGCAGTAAATATGTCAATCAAAGCTTCATTTGTTAATCTGATTATATAACTCTTAATAATTACATAAATGTACTCGTAGTTAATTGATTTTTAAACTGCTTGCGTTTTCCCACAGTTAATTACTTCCTAATATCACTTCTCAATATAATCTTCCTTATAGAATAAATAATTGTAGTTTTTCAAGTTGTTACGTAATATTAAACAGGTTTATATTATTAATTTTTTAACGTATATGAATCATTTATCGTTTACATTATGTATCGCACGAGGAAAGCGTGACCGATTTGCATCGATACTGACAAGCCGTTGAATCAATTTTCTCACTTCGTTTTTGTACGTTAACTATTTGTTTATTATTTTGGTTTTTTTTTTAATAAAGACAAATACATTATTTGTGTAATAGCGCGATGAAGATTTCTGTAAGTGAGAATGAGGTTTGAAAATACTAAATGTTATCTTACTAATAATATAAATGCGAAATTTTAGATGGATGTTTGTTAGAAGATATCTCCGGAACGACTCAACCGATCTTGATGAAATTTGGCATACATGTAGAACATAGTCGGGAAGAAAATTTAGGCTAATTATAAATTTATTTTTAAATAATCGCTCCAATCTATGTGATAGCTTATCTTTTTTTACTATCTATATATATTATATTGAATATACAGATCTTCCTAAATATAATTTGGAATGAAAACATCATGACACTGGTCCAAATTATTGTTTACAAAGAGTGCATTGACACAGGTCGTGTGACGTCATAGTCAACTCGCGCACGCGCGCCCTCTGTCCCGCCCGCCTACACCTTGTCTAAAATAAGCGAGCTTTGAAAGATCGCTTTCACGCAAACGAAAACAAACAAATAGTTGTGTTGCGGCCAGATAGTTTTCAAGTGTTTCCTTCCTGTGGAAAATCACAGCTATGTAAAACAAAAGCTTTTAGAGATACAATTTAACTAATTCCCATTGTGTCAGAAATCCTTGTAAAAAACATTACAATTAGCAAATGATGTTAACACGACCGAGTCTGACCGCGTAATGACTTTGCCAAGTTACGACTTAAAAGTTCAAGTTCGTTATACATACGACTAGCTTGATATATTGCTCGATAGTATATGTATTTCCTACTTTTACTGTATTAATTATTAATCGCATACAGGAAAAGATCATGCTTAATTGTTCCGCGGTTTACTTCCGACTTTTGTTAAAATGAAAAAAGTTTTATATCTTTTTAAAACAAAATTAAATAAAAAATTAGGTACTTAGTTTCGTAATTTATTACTACTAAATTCTTTCTAAAACTTCTTAACTAGATTATTTCTGTGAAATTTTACAGACGAAAAAGTTATGTTACCACATCTTTTTGTTATTATACAAATGTTTTCACAATGAAAACCCTGTTATACAAATTGCTCCAAAAATGTTCAAATAGTAATAATTTTTCGCGAATTTTCCACTACAATTTAAACATTCAGATTATGCATTATAAAAAACTGTGTGTTTGTGGTAATTTTAAAATAATAGCGATCAACTAGCGGAACGGAAGTGAAACGGTCCGTGTCATTACAACTGTCGTCTCAACTCTCGTTATGAGAGATGATTTAGCTATATTTGATGACACGCCACATCACAGTATAATAAGAAAGTAAACATAGATACTCGACACTGGCCCAATCTGATAAGAGAATGCCATAATCAATAAATTGAACTAAATAAGAAAGTATTAAAATAGGTAAAATAATTCAGTACTTAATACCTTTGTCTTTATATTTCAAATACAGTTTAATAAATCAACAAAATGTTTTAAAAAATATGGTTTAAATGCATTTTTATTAGAAAATTGTATTACGCAATAGTTCTACTTAACTTATTATAATTTCTTGATGATTAAAAAGTATAACAATAGATTTAATAACTCGATCATTTCTCATAATCTGCTAAAAGGTCAAATTAATTGTCGAATTATAAGTAGTGTTAATTAGTTTGTGTTGCTTATAACTTATCAATTATATTATTACACTTTGATTATTATTTTAAAATCTTATACTTATAGTAATGAACTATTTAAAATATTGCAAGAAATTTAAATCGCATCCGTTTTGCGGATGTCTATGGACGAATCCTAATGGCCGCTTTCATTTTCCACCTAAAGATATTAAAAAAAAATTAAAAGGTGAGTCTACTTACAGTCAAATTAAAACCTATAGATTCGTAGATATCAAGTAAACTTTTAGTCCTCTGCATCCCAACGTGCGTCCTGCGAGATATGTCACGACACAGTGCCGGCTTGCGCACGCGCACCCACTCATATACCAAAGGTTATGGGTTCTACACGAAAACAACCACACTAAAAGAGACCGCTCAGGAAATATATAAAGGTCGTATGTTCTATATACACTTATGTAGAACAAGTTTTCAATTAAACATTAATCTATTGTCAGTTTTGATACGTTATTTGAATATAAGATTCTTTTTTTTGTTCACAAACTTATTTGCATGCAATGATGTGTTGTGTTGACGCAATTGGGATAAAGTGATGTTAAAATATATGTTTACTATATGTTTGATATTACGTTGCTCATGAACTTAGCGTTCTTGGCTTGTATTACGTGTGTAATTAATTATTTAAGTAGTTATTATTTTTAATTAAGCTAAACCTATAAAGTATAGTTCTTTGTAGTCTAACGCTATACTTAAATCATAAGAATATATAACACGGAAAAAAATAATCTCGAAAATTTCAATTCTTTCATTGGCAGGTTTTGTCTAGATTGTTAGAGTCACAAAAACAAAAATGTCATAATGAACACTTTGAAATAGAAAAAATATATGTACATTTTTTTCATCGTAAAAATTCCTTTGTATATAATTTCTCCGATAATTATATAAAATATTAAAAATAGATTGTTTTATTTTATTTTTTATCTTTCGTTATTTTTTAAATTCAATGTCTCTTAATAATCCTAAAACCAATTGCTCGTAACATCTAGAAAAGTCGCGCACACCGGACAACTTTCTCTTTTATACAACCGCGCTTTAATTTATTAAATCTCGTGCTGTCCTGCCACATCCAGTTTCTATAATTCCGTTACAAACACGAGTGAACGTAAGGACACGTGTGTTTTTTCTCTGTCGATTATCGTGCGGCATTTCTATGTAATATCTATCAAATATATAATACATCTAAATAAAGATTTCTAGAAAACGATTAGATCTAGTGTTTACTTGCTTTAACCTAATAACGACTCACGCGTTTGTCGATCGATTGTTGTAGATTTATGTCCATTATTATCTGCGCATTAACAAAGTCACTCTGTCCTACGTTTTTACTGCGGTGTTTATTTAATATAAAAGTTCATTGTATAAGTACTTACTTTTGTTCGATCTTTCCTATTGTTCTTTTCGCTCCGATATTATAATTATTTCTAATTTTTCCTTTTTACTTTTTAATTTTAAGAGGTTATTTTAAAGACCATTGGTAATTTAGGAAATGATAATACCATTATAAGAAGAAAATAACTATCTCAAAGTCGATTTTAATGTTTTTTTTATATAATTGTCTTTTAAAAATTACTGTTACAATGTTTATCTGACTTGAACTTTAACTGACTTGGACTGTACAAAATCAGATTTAAAAATAGGCCTGCCTCTCACTGTACATTTATTTTCATAATTATTGATGTTGCTTTTATTTCCTATACTTCCCTTCCTGGTACAGTCGCTCTAAAAATATAAACAATTTAACAGAATAGTATTATATAAACCGGTCATAGAGGAAAATAAACAATTCCTAGGCTTGCAAACGGAAGGAAGCTTAGCGACATGACCTTGTCACAATACACTTGTCTAATGCACTGTACTCGTATGATAGTTAATAGAGTTAACTCATATTGTAAATGTGTTACAGATTTTATGTTTTTAACACACTTATATAGTTCACAGAGACTTTGCCTTTACTCATAGTCACATAAATACGAATTAAGATTAATCATCTTTTTGTATTCGGTAAAAAATAAATTTCAAAAAAAATTTTTTTCTGTAATTCAACGATGTGTTTTTTTTTAATTCAAAATTCTGAAATGATTTAATTAATTTGAACCTTGACAATCTATAACATATTTTTAAATGCAGTTTATAATATTGCATTTATAAAATATTAAATAGTAATTTCACAATTTTTTAGCAATAACTAGCTGTCGCCCGCGACTCCGTCTGTGTGCAAATAAAAATAAACTTAATTAGTAGCCTATGTGTTATTCCAGGCTATGTTCTACATCTATGAAAAATCTCTCTAAGTATCTCCAAAACGGCTGCATCTTGCATCTTACTGAAATTTGGCATAGATGTAGAACATAGTCTGGAAGAACATATAGATTACTAATTTTAGACAGTATCATTTAGAATCATTTGGCGCGAATGACGTGCTTTCAGTCCAGGGTCAGAATGAATAATGTGGGGACACAAACGTCGACATTTTCGTATTTTCTTTCTAACACTAATAAACTTTTTAATTGGTTCAGCGTAGACGGGATTGCGGGCGAGAGCTAGATATTTACATACCCGAGTAATATTACCCACGTCAGTCGATCAAAATGATTCCATATCGAT